TGGCAAAATTCATTCTAATAATTTGAATTATAATCTTTGGTTAGAATGACATTAAAAAGGAAATAAAAAATAATATATCAAAAGAGAGACCACATAATAAAGGAAAAAGTTTCATTTTAAAATCTTTTAACAGCACTTTCCTTTTGCTCTTGAACAAGGGGCTCCATACTTTCATTTTGCACTTGTCCCTGCTAATTATGTAGCTGGCCCTGTTTATCAGTCTATATACTGAAAGGAAGTTTCAGTAAGCAAGGGAGACCTTCAATTCTTGCCTTACAGCAGCTTAGCAGACATTGATAGTTGCTTACCCTATAACTATTCTTTTTCTGCCTTGCTAACAGAAGCCTCGTTTTGCTCGAGATGACAATATGTGCTGTTTAAAAAATAAATATTTTAAAATAAAATACTAATTTTTATTATGTTTTCATATTTTCACTGAATTTATATGTATCTGTACATATAGATAGAGATACATATGTACATATTTTAGATATAGATTTTTTTACAGATATAAAAATTTTTTAAAATTTTTAGATGAAATTTGCTTTTATTGCCCAGGCTGGAGTGCAATGGCGTCATGTCCACTCACTGCAACCTCCACCTCCTGGGTTCAAGTGATTCTCCTGCCTCAGCCTCCTGAGTAGGTGGGATTACAGGCAGATGCCACCACGCCTGGCTGATGTTTTGTATTTTTAGTAGAGATGGGGTTTCTCCATGTTGGTCAGGCTGGTCTAAAACTCCCAATCTCAAGTGATCTGCCCACCTCGGCTCCCAAAGTGCTGGGATTACTGGCATGAGCCACTGCAACCAGCCTAAAATACTTTACTTTTTAACACGGCACATTTCATTTATTAGTCTCTATTGCATTTACGGAGAACTAAAGTACCCGCTTCTAGCTAATGTGATGTAAATAAATGTTTGCTAGGTGGGGCTTATGAAAAAGCTGTTTTCTTTTTTTTTTTTTTTTCTGCTTTTGCTGATGCTGTTGTATCCTCACCGATGCACTCTCTGATTTCTTGTCTTAAGGAGTAGGAAGCAGATTCAGTTGGCATGTACCTTTGCCTTTACTTTTCATCCTTTTCTGCCTTAAAAACAGACTTAATGCCTAGAATTACAGGAGCTATCTTGAGACATTAGGATGAAAGCTACATAAGAATAGAAAGACTGAAACACAGAAGACTGCCTACCTCTGAACTTCTTAGGGATGAGAAAATAAATCAGTATTTGGGTAAGTCACTATAGCTAGGTTTCTGTTACTTGAGCTGAACACAACCAATCCTTAACCATTACACTAGATAACATGAAAACTCTTCTACTACAAATACTTACAAATGCTGGGTAAAATGCAGCAAAATTAATTAATTAACTAATTATGCATATTTCAGCTTACAAAAAAACCTAGAAATATTGAGTGGCAGAAATTTAAAAAGAAGCTGGACACCCCGGACTTGAACACACAATATGACTCTGTCTGGACTAGGGAAAGGAATAAATGAGCATGGCACTTGACTGTTTAAAGTCAGGTGGTGATAAACAGATTTTTTAGTGTGATATATAGATATACACCATGGAAAGCTATTCAGCCTCTAAAAAGAAGGAAATCCTGTCATTTATGACAATATGGATGAATCTGAAGGATATTATCTTAAGCAAAATAAGCCAGATGCAGAAAGCTGAATATTGCATGACCTCACTTAAATGTAGAATCTAAAAATGTTAAATTCATAGAAGCAAAGAGTGGAATGGTGGTTGGCAAGGGCTGGGAGAGAGTGAGGGAATTGGATAATGTTGGTCAAAGGAGATACAATTTCAGTTACATAAGAGAAATAAGTTCAAGAGATGTATTGCAAAACATAGTGAGTATAGTTAAAAACATGTTGTATTCTTCAAAATCACTAAGAACAGATTTTAAGTGTTTTCACCATAAAAATAAGTATGTGAGGTGATGCATATGTTAAATCACTCAATTCAGCCATTCCAAGATGTATATATATTACAAATCAGGTTGCACACAATACAGAATATACAATTTTCATCTGCCAATTTTAATTAATTAATTTTTAAAACTACATGGTAACTAGTGATAAGACCTTGGTGCAAGCAGAAATCAGTAACTATGAGCACACTCTGTCCTCCAACTTCAAGACCTCACACACACACATAAGTTAAAAATTCATGAAGTTCTGTACCCTCAATGAAAGGGTAGACTAGATAAAACCCTATAGTAAGAAGCTTTTCTGTCATGGTACAAGCTCTGAAAGAGACAAAAATAAGGAATATCTAATTCCCTTGAGAATTCAAATCATGGTTTGTACTCCCACTGATCTGGGTTCAAATTTATAATATCTGAATTATATCTGAATAATCCTAGAACTTCTAAGCCAAGAAGGAAATTCATATAAAAATTGCTCCCTAGCCAGTGATAACCTCAGGGGTCTCTGACAGAAGAAACATTTTTTTTTCTAACTCACTAAAAATTAACCATTTAAAAAAAAAGCTAAAAGGAATCAATGTACAAAGCAAAAGGAATCAATCCACAAAGAATAAGAGTCATCAAATATACAAATAGAATTATTAGACCCCTTAATGCAAAAGGATATGTCTGTATGATACTATTAATGCAGTTTAAAACTGTAACATAGTAGTACCATTTATAGATACATATAAGTTCAGTGAAAGTACAAAAACATAATAGATTTTAATCAAATTAAGAACAGTAGCTTGGAGAGGATCCAAGATGGCCGTTTAGGAACAGTTCAGGATTGCAGCTCCCAGTGAAAGCGCAGAGGGTGAGTGGATGCCGCATTTTTATTGCCCACAGACTAGGCAATTCCTAGGTGGAGGAGGTCCTCGGTCGCCAGAGCGGCTGTTTCGGCCAGCACGGCTGTGCCGGCCCGCGCAGCTGCTTTGTCGGCGCCCCGAGCAGCGGTTCTCCATACAAAATACACCGGTCTGGGTGCCCTTTTGGCTGGTGATTGGAGCCACGGGAAGTCGCCCATTTGTCTGTTTAAAAAGGGGACTGAGNATAGGCGGGTGTTGAACAATGAGAACACATGGACACAGGGAGGGGAGCACTACACACTGGGGTCAGTTGGGGGGAATTGGGGAGGGACGCTGGGGGGTGGGGAGCTAGGGAGAGATAGTAAGGGGAGCAATGCCAGATGTAGGTGATGGGGAGGAAGGCAGCAAATCACACTGCCACGTGTATACCTATGCAACAATTTTGCATGTTCTTCACATGTACCCCAAAACCTAAAATGCAATAAAATAAATAAATGGGGAAAAAAATAAAAAAAGAACAGTAGCAAACTCTGGGGAAGGTGTAGTGTTAAGAAAAGTCTGAAGAAATGATCCAGACTCAAGGAGGATTCAGCAACATGCCAACTGGATACAGCACATGATCCTTCTTGGCTTGAATGTTTTTGCTATAAAGACATTGGAATAATTGGCAAAGTTTGAGTCGGGTTTCTAGACAAAGGGTATACAGAAGTTTTTGTACTATTCTTGCAACACTTTTCTTAGTTTGTAAATTGTTTCTAGTTAAAAAAAGATTTTTTTAAAAAAAGGATGAAAATGAGAAATAGGAAACAGTTTCAGAGAAGAAATTGCTAGGATAGATCAATTGGAGGCGGGAAATAAGAGGAAACAATCAAAGGGGACTCAGATTTCTGGGTTAGGTGATTTGGTGTGTATGATTCAATGTATCAATATAGCAAACCCAAGAAAAGATGCGATTTTCAGGAAAAGCAAACTACAACAGAGTTGTCACTGGAAATAGTGAATCTAAGGATAAATAGGTAGTTGGAAATTTAAGTTGCAGGGGGTGCTGTCACAGAAGAGCTTAGCACTGTAAATATCATGATTTGATTACTTTCTTTACTGACTAAATCATTTGGGAATTCACTATGTTGCCAAGCATGCAAACCGTGAAAATATAAAAATAAATAGGAAATGGTCACTGCCCTTAAGGGGCTCATATCTAGTAAGAGAAATAGAATCAGTCTGTAGGGCAGAATCAATCAGTCGAAAGGTAGAGACTGGTGGAGTAAGTTCTAGAGGATGACAGGTTAGTTCTCAACCTTGGTCACACATTAAAATCACCTAGAGGAATTCCTAAAACATCCTAATGCCCAGTACACACTCTGGGACTGGATCCAGACATCACTGGTTTCTTAAACTCTCCAGGTGATGCCAATGTGCAGCCAAGATTAAGGGAGCAGTGGCTCTACTCAGAACACCTGAGACATCTATTCCTTTGAAACATTTAGCAATAATGGAGGAAAGAGCATGGAAAGAACAGGAGGTGAAAATAAGGGAATTTGGTTGAAAAGGCTTCTGCCAAACAGAGTGATGATTTATATTTTCTCTGTAAAGAAAACCTAACGGCTGAGCGCGGTGGCTCACGCCTGTAATCCCAGCACTTTGGGAGGTTGAGACAGTTGGATCACTTGAGGCCAAGAATTCCAGACCAGCCTGGCCCACATGGTGAAACCATGTCTCTATTAAAAATACAAAAAATTAGCGAGGCGTGGTGGTGCATGCTTGTAATCCCCAGCTACTTCGGAGGCTGAGGCAGGAGAATACTTGAACCCGAGAGGCAGAAGTTGCAGTGAGCCAAGATTGCACCACTGCACTCCAGCCTAGGCAACACAGCGAAACTCCGTCTCAAAAAAAAAAGTATCAAAGGCTAAGAATAAGGCTATATGAAAATATGGTAAGTGTTTTGTGGAGAATGGCAAATAGGATTACAACTATAGAGGGTGCAAAAGGAAAAAATAACATTGTTGTTTTCCCAAGACTGGGAATATCGAAACATTTGCCGATGAGGATTCAGGGATACCACCGTGTCCACCATTGAAGAATTTCGCCTTTAATGTTGGACACGGTGGTGTGATCCTGTTGTAGAGATGAGCATAGGTTATAGCAAATACACCTACTTTAACAACAGCGCTCTGGAGAGAGGGTAAGTGCTTTCCCACATAAAGATCTAAAATAGACCATAAATAAGATACAGGATTTTTGATTATATATATCTTTCCTTATTTCTGTAAAATGAAGGAAACATGGAGTATTTCAAAGCTGGGAGAGTCCATTATATTGGAGTTACCTTAGAAAGAGAGGGCTGTTTCTGTCACCACAACAAAGAATGAAACAACACAAATATTAACATGTTTTCTTCTTGTCTTTAAATGCTTTTACTGCACTCGTCTTTCAACCTTTACCATCTATTGGATCTGTGACTGCTGTTTCAGTAAAACACGGAAGCCTGAATGTGAGCTCATTTCATTGCCTGCTGCCCAATCACACAAAACATACAGAGAGCATTTTCTTATTCTTAAAATGTGATAGTAATATCTCCTTCCATGCTTGTACCTGTTTTAATTCCTTCCGAGCAGAGGCTGTATCGCGAAGGCTGCTGAAGAAGTTACTTAGAATGGAAGGATTTGGAACGCATGTCACATCATACCTCATTTGTTATTAAAATTAGTCTCGCTGAATTGTTAAGGGCTGTCCTGTGTCGCTCGCGGTCTTTGCGTCCTCCACATGGCACTTTGCTTTCACACAGTAGGCACGTAGTGTTAAGGTCCCCGAAGGTTGTCAAGTAACCGGCCCGGAGCTTGAGGGCAGGACATTGTCTTATTCAGCGTACTAGCTCCGACACTTGATTCAGTGCCTGGCACACAGTAGGTATTCAATTACGCTGAATGAATGAGCAACCAGCTCGGTGGGGGACAGGAAATCCAACCCTGTTCCTCAAACGTTCGCTGACCGGCATCCAGGCCTCGCGGACCAGTGCGTCGCGCGGTGCCTTACTGTGACCGGGGCCTGTGGGTTCTAATGTCACACATATTGTAATTCCGTGCTGTAACTCCCAAATTTACTCTTAAAAACGGAAATAGGGGTCCTGTTTGCTCTGGGTTCTCAGAGGTTAAGTGCAACCTTACAGCGGGGCCGAGACCCTGCGGCTCCCCCTGGCCGCTCCCTCCACAGAAGGCGGGCGGAGCTCCCGGCGCGCCCCGGGGCCGCGCCGCCGCAATCCTCAAGGGGTCGCTGTTCCCGCGATGATCTCGAGAAAGGCTCCGCCCCGCGGCCTGCTCTCGATTTCCCCGTTGAGAGTCGGCTCCACTCAGTGGGGTCGCCCGCCCATCTCGGGGTCGCCAGTCCATCTCCGGCTCCCCCGCGGGGCCCGAGGCAGACGTTAGCCGCCGCACTGCCGGTCGACAGACCCAGCCTTTAGGCCGCCACCGCGGGCGCTAGTTCTTCTCCCTTGCCCCGCCTTCCTCCTCCCCCCTCACGGAAACCACAGCTGCGGCGGCTGGGCTGGCGCCGCCTCCCTCCGCCTACCACGTCTGCCCTCGCCGCTCTAGCCCTGAGCCCCAGCCCGGCCGCGGCGCCTCCGCCTCGCGGCTAGGTCAGCCGGCTCCGCCCGGCTGCCGCCCAGGATGAACATCATGGACTTCAACGTGAAGAAGCTAGCGGCCGACGCGGGCACCTTCCTCAGTCGCGCCGTGCAGGTACCCAGGTGCTGGGGGGAGAAGGGGCGGCGGCGCCCGAGGAGGCTGAGGGAGGAGACCTCAGCCCGACGCGGCGCTCCTGGGCCTCGCCGACCACTCAGCGGGCCTGCTGAGGCCAGAGGCCTGGGAGATGCGCGCGGCCTGGTGCCCCCCGGGCCTGGTGCCCCCCGGGCCTGGTGCCCCCCGGGCCTGGCGGCGGTTTTCTGCCCGGCTCCTGCCCAACCGCCGCTCCCCGGGAAGCGACGCGGGGTGGGGACGGAGCTGGGAGCTTCCTCCGATCCCTGGAGGACACTGGGGCTGCACTGTCCGCCTTTCTGATCTCACGACGCCAGTGCTCGTGTGGCCTCCACCCCAGGGCTGGCGGAGGCTCCCGAGTCGGTTGGGGTAACTGAGACACAGGCCATTCCTGCACTACCCCCACCCTTTCCTTTCGTCTCTCACCCTCCCCTCCGAGTCCAAGAAGGGAGTTTCCTTTTCCTGCCCCTCGACCCAGAGAGCTGCCAGCACAGTTCCCTCCAGCCCTTTTTCTCCCTGAAAGGACTGTCCTAGGCTTGGCAGCCCGCGGGGGGAATGAGGATCGCCAGTTGGCGTTCAGACTTTGCCAAGGCCACGGGAAAGCTAGGGTTGGGGGATTCTCACTCATTTTCAAAATGGGAAGCACCGGCTTTAGATCAAGGAGAGATGCGGGGAGATTCATGCTGTTAGGACTGTAAGTCACAGTAGCATGTTTCACATATGCTTTAAGGGGCAAAGTTGACTACCTGTCGATATTCTGCAATCAAGGAAGAGTCGGTACTAAGGAACTTGGACCATTTCCAGCAGTCATCACCCACATTATGCCAACTCAGGAAATCTGTGAACAGATGTAAATTTCACAACATGACTTATAAACAATCTGGCGTTTAAGTTAATGGCATAGTCACGGTAGCAACAACATTCTCTTTTGTAAAAAGAAAACAAAAATAATATTCTAATATGCATACCAAATTGGCGCTGAAATGTAAATCTGTTCTGTTGCTTTACGACTTTCCTTGTCTTTGCCCCAATTTTGTTGGCACAGTTGATCCTACATTGTACTATCCCTGGCAAAAAATGGTAGAGCTAGAGCAAGGTAATAGCTGCTTATATTATGAAAAACCTGTCAAGCACTTTGCAATGCATTTGACATATCATCTCCAGTCGTTTCCATAACTTTGCCAGATAGATGTTACTAACCCTTTTTATGCATATGAGGAAGCTGTCTTACAGAGGTTATGAAACTTGCACAGCTAGTAAATAACCAGGTGCTGTCTGACCTTGTACTCCAAGCTGCTTTTCTTCCTGGGTAAGCATTCCAGATTTAAGATAGCTAGAATAATAGAATGTTATGGCCTAGAGAGACCTTAAAAATCATCTGGTACGATCTGATCATTTCCATATAAACAGCAAGTAACACTTTAGAGATGGGAAATTTCCTTCTAGCTTTTGATTTCTGAGTTCTAAAATCTGCATGGTGAGTAATAAGTTAGCTGCCTTAACCCTTTTCTTCCCTTCCTTCCGTAAAATATGATATGTTGTAAAGACATTGAGCCTTTATAGTTAAAATGGTGTTTTGATTTAAATCCACCGGCTTCTAATAGTGAAAGACAAGGTGCAAGAAGAATGAGCGACTCAGGGTCTGAAATGAATTTTGATGTGTGAGACATTTCTATGCTTTTAAGGTTGACTGCAGTAGAGGACTACAGCCTTGGATATTTTTGTTTGTTTTTGTGCTCATTACCTATATAATTGTAGATACTTAATGAAGATTTGACACTATATAATGCCACTCTTTTATATACAATTAGATATGTTTCAGACATAGAACTCACACTCCTTAAAGAGGACACATTTACTAGAATTTAGTCTGATTTAAATTGTGGATAGACTCGATTTAGATAATTAAATCTGGCAAAGTTCTCAAAAGGTGTACTTCCCAAAGAATTTTAATTCTTTGAAATTCTTTAGAAAAAAGTTTTAAAATTTATGCTAATCTATTAGCTATCAAATAATTTTCTTTCCAGTATTGAATATATAAGTGCCTACTGCATGTCTGATTATGACTAATGTGAACACTGGTGATACAGCAATGAATAAAGTCAACAAAGTGTCTCCTTCCTGGAGCTTACATTGTAGCAGAAGTTAAGCTTGTAAATATATTGGGTGATGATAAAAAATTAAAAAATAAAAACATGGCCAGAAGCATTGAATAAAGACAGGGATGGTGGTTGTTATCATATCGTATAGATAGGATGGTCAGGGCAAGTCTTTCTAATAGAATGAAATTCAATAGAGACCTCAAGGAAGTGACAGACCCAGTTTTGTTTTGTTTTGTTTTGTTTTGTTTTGTTTTGTTTTTTGGATAAAAGAATTTCAGGCAGCAGGAAGAAGTACAAAGACTGAAGTTGCAGGGGAGGGGTATTAGGGAAACCAATGAGGGAGCTGTGGCCATGGTACAGGTAAAAGGCAATTGTGACTTAGATTACAGTGGTAGCAGGAAAGGTTCTAAGTTATCCAGTATTAGCTGTTGGACTGGCTCAGAGGTATGAGAGAAAGATGAGTCAAGGATGACTCCAAGGTTTTGGCTTGAGCCATTTACTGAGGGAAAAATTTAGGAGAAACCAGCTCCTTTAATGTGTCTTTTTATAATGTGTATAATTGTTAGAGATACATACTGAAATGTTTATGGATAAACTTATACCATATCTGAAATTTGGGGGTGTGTGTGTGTGTATGTGTATGTGTATGTGTTTGAGATGGAGTTTTGTTCTTGTTGCCCAGGCCGGAGTGCAATGGCTCGATCTCGGCTCACTGCAACCTCTGCCTCCCGGGTTCAGGTGAATCTCCTACCTCTGCCTCCCAAGTAGCTGGAATTACAGGCATGTGCGACCACACCTGGCTAATTTTGTATTTTTAGTAGGGATGGAATTTCACCATGTTGGTCAGTCTGATCTTGAACTCCTGACCTCAGGGTATCTACCTGCCTTGGCCTCCCAAAGTGCTGGGATTACAGGTGTAAGTCACCATGCCCCATTGAGATTTGCTTTTAAATATTTCGGAAGAAAAAAAAAGAAGTCACCGAAACAATGTTAGCAGAATGTTGATAGTTGAGGAAGGCTGGTTATGGGTTCATGAGGTTTCATTATACTATTATACTTTTGTTTATGTGTGACATTTTCCACAATACTTTTTAAAGATAAAATTTGTAATAAAAAAAAAAAGATGCTTTTAAAATAGAACATGTGAAATTTGGAATGCTGTTTGGTAATTTTCAACAAGACACTGCTTTCTCATCTCAGTATTTATTCGTTACTGAGTTCCTACATTTAATTGCGTTGACATCAGCGTAATGCTAAGGTACCAAGTTTCATGCTAAGAATAGCTTAAGAGCTATGCCAGTATCTCTTTATAAGCAATAAGAACAGTAGAGAGATAATTAAATGTTCACATTTATAAATAATAATTTTCATTCAAATCAAATTGTACTTTAAGGAATATACCATTCTTTGGTTGGCCAATTGTCACACATTGTTTTCCATTTTACTTAAAAATTTCTAAGTTAAAAATTAAACGTTTCTTGTTTTAAAAAAGGTCAGATCAAACTAGTTAAGCACATAAATAAGTCCCATCACCACTCCACTTCCCTTCTTTTAAAATTTGTTTAGAAGCCTTGGTACTTTAAAGAATGTTAAAGTAGAATGTATAAATGAGTAGGAATATTTATTCTTAACTAGCCCATTTGGGTGCTTGCTTTTAAGTTCCTCAAGATGGTAAAATACAAAAGTATTTTTTACCTCAAGATGGTAAAATACAAAAGGGTAAATACAGGTAATTTACCCTTGCTTAATTGCTATTAACTAGTGTTTTAAAAGCCATTTATTCTTAGAATCCATCTCTTCAATCCAAACTTCTTAGTTGAGCATGACATACTCCCTTACAATCTGGTCCTTTCTCTCACTTGTATAAACACTGTTTTTCAAATTATTTTCTAATTTCCAAAATATCTTGTACTTATATTAGGCTTTTGTTCATATAGTCAAACTCCTCGAGTGTCCTGTCTGCCTGTTCTTTCCTGTCCTTAAGATACAACTTTATTCTTCTACAGTGGAGAGAGTATAAATAAAGAAAATTTTTTGAAGATGTAACTTCAAATCCATCTCAGCTGAGAAGGCTTAGACCACAAAAGCTTGCTGTGAAATCCTGAATCATTTTCAATTCTGAGTAATTATGTGGCACTTTGCTTCTAATGAACTATTATGTTAGATCTCTTGGAACTCTAAAATTCTGTTACTTTGACTTTCACATCTTTAATAAGTGTGTGTGCTAAGACATCAAATCTGTTTCTTACTCCCCTCTCACAACATCTAACATGGTTCATCTCAACTCTTTTGTCATTTTAACCAGGCAAATTACTATCCATTATGCAAAGTTTAATCTTTGAAAGGCAACAATAAGCATGTTAAATAACAGTATCTTTATCAGTGTTTTCTAACATTATATTTGATGACCTTGAAGTTAACTAATACCAGTATAAATAACAAACTGTTGAACCTATATTTAAATTGAGCACCTCCTAGGTGCTTGGCATTGAAAGATACAAAGCTGAATGAGTCCCTGTTTCTGCCCTCAAAGACTTCATAATAATAGTCTCAAATTTTTCACTAAATATTCTTTGTAGTAAATAGCCATTTTGTGAATAACTCTTAATTTGATAAATCTTTCAAGTGGATAAATGAATAAGAGATGTGTTTTTAATTCAGAATTCTTACTGAAGCAAAGCTTTGCTCACCATCATTAAAATAAGAGCATATACTTTCTGAAAAGAATTTTTCAAATCAAGTTATTTAGAGAGGGAGTTCATTTTAATTTTCTAACATTTCCTGTAAACTGATTATTGAAGTTGTACTATGAATTTCATGAACACCAGCTATTTTCTAAGGAAAATCGTTTTTAAAGTATAGTTTTGAGCTTGGCCTTGATCT